ACTAGTCAATCTTCACCGAGAAAAATATACGGATGAGAAATTCATTTTCGCAGAACAAGTTGATCAGTGCTTCTTTGTGAAAGATTCGAATGTCATGTCTGATTGGGTGGTTTTGTACAAGGAGCCAAGATCTGTTATTCTTCCTAATAACAATGAAAAAAATATTGAAGAAAGTGAAGATAATTATAGTGAACCAATCGGTTCATCTGATGATGTTTGGCAAGAATTCTCTTACGCACAGAATGTGGCGTTGGATGTAGGTATGTAATATATATGTTACACTGCATTAAAGTTTTTTAGCTAATCATAATAAGAACAATGCATTTCATAATAACTTATCTCATGAGCATGTATATATTAAATTTGCAGATGAGGAGGAGGATTAGGAGGCTCTTTGACCAGTCGGCTGATCGATCACGGAGTATCACCCCAGGTAGTGGTGCTGATGATACACTACCATCTCCGGATGCAGGTATAAAAATTAATTAATACTTTAATAAATTTTAGTTATCTAGCTCATAGTGCTCATTTGTTGCAGATGCGGGATATTCATCACCCAGCGGTTCTGACGCAGCACCAGAACCATCCCCCGACACAGGTATTAAATATCTAATAATTGATAATGGTCAATTAAAATTTAATATTAATGATTCTTCTTTCTTATGTAGGTGCTACTTGGACCCCGACATATCCATCATATACATTCCATACCGACTTGCGGCCAAAGACACAGGACTATCTCAGTTTACCCTTACCTCCGGACTCTCATAAGTCCAAAGCTGACTCAAGGAAGTACCACCCACGTGCTGCGAGAAAGTTACAGGAAATGCTTCCTATGTTAGAGACTAGGAAAGCTGATGCACTCGCAGCAAAAGATAGAGAGATAGCGAATGGTAAATTGTATAAATACTTTTAATTTTTACATTTGTATATTATATGATATATTATCATGTTGTTATTATTGTAGGTGCTAAGTCAGATCGCATAGAGGGACGACGTGGCGGAGGTAAGCCTGATTCTAAACAACCGCCAAGAGGAATGAAGGCCATTATTAGGTGGAATAGTTCTAATTTGCCCGTTGGTCCTTGGTCGACACGATTGAATGCATATATTGGGGTTCTCGTGCGTAGAACGATCATTATCAACCCTTATTTTCATTTTTGAGAATTACCATGGACCGCATACGAGACGATATGGACTGCGCTTATGGTAAGTGCATATTTTTTTAGATTTTCATTTATTAGTAATTAGTAACTGATATTAAATTATCCTTACTAAATGTGTATGTAAATCTACAGGACTGCTTCTGCCTTGAGCACTTTGAGGGGGCTTGGAATTATGTGTTTAATGTCAAGGTTGAAGCAGTCCTCAAACAATGAAGGCATGAGATCAAACATGAAACCTATGACAGGTATGAGGAGGACTGACAGAGGTTTTTAAACCTCGATGACCGAGTTGACGAGATTCATTTCACGGCTCTCCTCATGTATTGCGACAGCGATGCCGCCAATGTTAGTTTCATGAAATTTAGTTTATAATTTTAAGATATTATTTCATTTTATATTTACAGATTTTTTTTAAAGAATAAATCCACGAAGGGGTCAGAAAATAGAAGAAAGAAGCTGCATGACCATCACTTGGGCTCACACTCCTACGACAATCTTGAGGATGTTTATTGTCAGGATACAGTATATGTCATTTAAAGTTTAAAGATTTAAAAGATCTTAATGTTTAGTGTGATTATGAAATCTCAAAATTTATAATATGACAGGGGAAATCATTAATGTCGATACACTTGAGGGCAAAAGTGGCATATGGTACTTTCCGTGAACAATATAGGGGTGATGAGAAGAATCGGGATAAGATCACGGCAAATCTCGAGTTAGTGGTGAGACTTATACATATCTTGAGTAGTATTATTAATTCTATTTTGTTAACATTACGAGGAAACGAGAACACAAATAATATGGTCATTATCTTGAATTAACTATAAATTTATGCTTTAGGAGGGATTTGAGACTGCATCCAAGGAGGCTGCATCTGTGTACATTTCGCAGGAGGAGGAACAAACCGAGCCGGACCCTCACATGCTTTCTGCAGAGGAGAACATCAATCTCACACAGAACCTGATGGGTCATAATAGGTAAGGATGGTGAAAAATCGAATCAATTTGAATACTACATACTATTTATATTTGTTTACCATTATTGAATTTGAGAGCAAAGTTTAATATTTATTTCTCCCTAATAATAGGAGAGGAAGATATCCTCTGCATGGTGTCGGAGCTTCACGAGGTATAAGCATTAGATCGTCCACAGCATCATCCACACCATCTACATCGACGAGAGCAGCCACAAGCAGTTTCCAGGCTATGCCATTTGTCGCACGTATCTCTGCTTATCTGATTGACAAAATTGACCCGGAGCTGCATATTCAGGTGACTAATGAGATGACTAGAGTTGCGCTGACGGCGAACTCGATGGACGATCTCATGGGGTATGTTATACAATATTTAGGCAGTGCTATTCCTTATAGCGCGTATGGTGGTACCATACAGATCATTAGCTCGATTGGCGATAATTACGGTGCTAGACAGAGTAGTGCTCAGGTACCTTATTTTTTCTTATATTTATAAATTCATTTTTATCTAATATGTTATCAAACACCACATAATGATTATTCAATTAAACATTCAGAGTGGAGATAATGGAGAGAGCAGTACTCGTTCTCGTAATCGGGATAGAGATACCCCCGCCGCCGACGATGGATGATGTTTTTTTATTTTTAATGTAATAAACAGTTTTATTTGTTATAACACTATATGTATTCATGTCGTGTATCCTATCTTAGTCATGTGCATTGTTAGTATATATGTTGTTGGATGTGTATTAGACGGAACTGATTGATGTATATTTTGAAGTGGATGGTTGGATTTGTACAATGTGTTGGATTTGGTTATATAGATGTTTTTCTATATATTATATATACATATATTATATGTAAATATATTGTATATATTTATAAATAAGTTATAACTTGAGAGAGAGAGAATCGCATAAGTAGTCGTTGTCCGTTGGGCCAATGGGTAAGAAGTAGCCGTTGTAATATACTATATTTATATATACTTATATACTAAGAGAGAGTATACACACACACATATTATACATATATAAGAGAGAGTATACTTATATAAGAGGGAGTATACCTATATATATATATATATATATATACTAAGAGAGAGAGTATATATATATACACACATATATTATACATATATAAGAGAGTGTATACTTATATATACTTATATAAGAGAGAGTATACATATATAAGAGAGAGTATACTTATATATACATCTGTCAAACTAGACGGAATTCTTTATTCCGTCTAGGTTGACTTCCGTCTAGGTTGATCAACCTAGACGAAATTCCGTCTAGTTTGATTCAATCTAGACAGAAGCAAAATAAACCACCCAAACTAGACGAAATTCCGTCTATATGAACTAATCTAGACGGAATTTGGATCAACCTAGACGAAAATTTCCGTCTAGGTTGATCAGTTTTCTACTAGTGATACATATATTATATATATACATATAGTATACATATATAAAAATATATTATATATACATATATTATACATATATAAAAATATATTATATATACATATATTATACATATATATATATATACACACATATGACATATTATACATATATAGAAATATATTATATATACATATATTATATATATACATATAGTATACATATATAAAAGTATATTATATATACATATATTATACATATTATATATATTTATATATACATATATTATACATATATAAAAATATATTATATATACATATATTATACATATTATATATATTTATATATACATATATTATACATATATAATACATATAAAAAATAAAAAATAAAAATAATAAGAAAATTCCGAGCCTGACCGAGCCCGGGTCGGGCACCAAAGAGGCGGCCCGGGCCCGGCCCGGAGCCCAGACTTGGCCCGGGTTTCCGGGCCGGCGGGCTTTTTGGACACCCCTAGTAAGAATAGAATGATAATTCCCACTTCTCATTCATTTGTATATACTAGTTTTTACACACGTGCAATGCACGTGATTTAATACCATGATTAAGTATTTTTGACAGTTTGTGCTCATTTTCGTCATCCATCTCAACTATCCGAGTTATATTGTTTAGATCCTACTAAGTCATTCCATGGAGGTACAAACAAGTAGCCTCGTCTGTAGGAATGAGAAGCGGATTCATCGAGACAGTTAGGAAAGTTAAGCTCCACCAGAGCGAGAAAGGGAACCTGGCCTGGTCAAGCAAATAACCAGTCAACTACAAACGGGGCGACGTGGGACTGCCTCTATCATAATCAACGAATCCTCAGCTGAAGAACGACCAAATTTTAGGAACCAATAGCATCACTCGGGTTGTACTCCTAGTTGAAGCCAAAGAAGGCAAGAGCAAATGAGCAGTTGTCTTTCAAAGAGGACCAACATGAGGTCGACTTACCCCATTGTGGAGCATGATTCCACTCAAGCTGGCAGAATGACACTATCCGTAACCCTCTTAACTCATCCCCAGTGCAGAAAGGAGACGGTGAATTTTTCGTCATAGAGTATGCATGTAATGGCATATAATCGGGAGACTCTCCTTGAACAAGCGGTGGTGTCACCTCTGCACCAAATGGTCAAGATCTCCCCCAGAAGATCTTGATGTAGGGAGATTTTCAGTGTCCCAGAATCTTTCTATAAAGAAGAGACTGGAACTGTTGCTGGAGGTTTCTTCCTGTTGCAGTAGTTGCTGTTGTTATGGGAATTAAAGATCACAATGACTGGTTGTTAAAGGATTTAAGAAAGGAAAGAAGACTGAAGCTGTGGTCAGCAATATCCGTTAGCTCATAAACTGTATGATTAGTTTATATACTATTATGACACATAAGAGTCTGTATTATATTAAAAGACAGGTACAATGTGAGAATCTAATACAAGTGAAACTCAAGTAATCTAACAAGTGAAGGGAAATATCAAAGTGAAATACCTGCTCTCACTGGATAATATGTTACAAGAGATTCCATATATCACCACACCCAAATTGTGAAGTTTGAATACCAAATACAAACCATCCCAAACTGCTGAATCATGGAGCTAAAGAAGACTTAGAAGAGTAGCTTTCTGTCAGTTCAAATGCTTGTTTCTTCCTTCATCAAAAAACTGCGCAAAAGTTCAGGTTGGAGAAGACAACATATCAAAAGACTTCCCTGAAACACAATCACATTATGGACGCAAAGAAAGAGAATATACTATTATACCACATGATCACCTGATAATGAGTAAACTATAAATAGGATAAAACAAATGATTTTACCAAATCATATGCTTCTACCTTAACAGTATTCTTCTCATGCGGTCATATTGCAATAAATTATGCCCAAAAGAGATTAACTATAAATAAGAAGTAAGGTATCAAATTTTATATGGAAAAACTAAAATAAGAAGTAAGGTATCAAATTCAAGAATGAATGCTTACATATGCTTCCATATTAAGCGCTCTAGTAACTAGCCTTATTCAGTGTTTTAATAATAAAAATTATGGTCAGAAGAGCTTATCTCAATGCAAAACTTTTAAAAAAATTGCAAGGTATAAAATTCAAGAATGAAAATTAAATCAAAATTAACATGATTACAATTGCTAGAAAGCATGATAACTTCCACACAAACTAATGAGTGTTTAAGAAGCTATTTATCGTTGTGTCTCAGTCATCTAAGATGACAGTCATACCCAAACTAAAGGGAACTTTGTTTGCATGACTAGCGAGCTTTCTGTCATCTTTAAAACAAAAATATGAAGATATCACTAAAAAACTCAGCATGTTGTAGCCGGGAAAAAAGGAGGAATTTAAACAATTGTAGAATTCAGAGTTCATCTTATCCTAAAAAGCTTATAAATCCACCTAAAATGAATCCATATTTAGATCTTCAAATGACCACACGAAGTTCAATAACTGAAGATATCTTCGTATGAGCAACACCAAGAAGCTGTTGGTATTATACAACTGATTCTGGACTGAATATTGTATACATGACCTAGACTCAGTGAAAGAACTAGCAATAAACATTATATGAACAAAAGTTTTGCTACAAATTATGTTCTAGTAGCAGAGGTTAATTATTTTAATCTTCCATGATATCATCAACACTTCGTATCATAGGAAGGCAACCCCTCTCAATAAGTACCTTCACATCCAAAGAAGTACTAGCATTTCCATACAGCCTAAGCGCAATTTTTCTCATTAGCCTCAAGCTCTTCGGACCATTATTAAGAAGGCCACCATTCTTAATAACCTCTTTCAAAAGCTCAAGAGCTTTGACTGCATTCCCTTTCAAAGCTAAAGAATCAATTAGCAATAAATAGATGAAAGTATCAGGTTCATGTCCACAATTCTTCATCTGCTGTAAATAGAATGTGGCAGAATCTACTTTGCCACACTTACACAATCCATGGATAAGACAAGTATAGGAAATCCTGTTTGGAGCACATCCTTTCTCCCTCATTTGATTCCAAATATCAATGGCATCTTCAGCTCTTCCAGCATTAAAGAAACCATCTATTAAACTCGTATAGGAGACGATCGAAGGTTGCTTTTGATCACCAACCATTGTACTAAAGCAAGTGACTGCTTCATCGATCATGCCATTTTTGCACCATCCATCTATCATCAAGTTATAAGTGACAACAGAAGGAACAAGTCCCTTCTCTAGCATTTCTTTCAAAATCCCCTGTGCTTCTTGTAATCTTCCAACCTTACAAAATCCATTTATTAGAATGTTATGTGCCACCACATCTAAAACATAATAATTTGAAGAAATTCGACGAAAGAGTTCCAATGCTTCATCCACATCTCCTGTCTTGCACATTCCATCAATAACCACAGAATATGGAATCATATCTGGAAGAAAACCCACTTGAATCATGTCATCAAGGAAACAAGAGGCTTCTTTTATTTTCCCATTTTTGCAGAGTCCTTGTGCCATTATAGTGCAATATTTGATCCATGGCACATGACCCTGGGATCTCACCTCCTTGAGCAATTCAATGGCAGCAGTCAAATCCCCTCTTTTGCAGAGGCAATAGAATATCGAATTGTATGTGAACTCAGTAGGAACAAACCCAAATTCCTTCATTGTTTTCAGTAACTCATAGCTTTCAATCAACCTGTCCATGTTGCTGAGTGCATTAATCAGGTCATTATACATTAACAATTTCCCTTTACAACCCATTTTAATCATATCGTTCAGAAGAACTAAAGCCTTATCCAACTTTTCAGTCTTGCACAAGCCACAGATTACAGTACTGAATGAATCATCATTTGGCTTAACAGCTCTCTTGATTCTAACCAAATTATCTTCGTCGCCCTCATACACTCTCTCTTGCGAGGAATCCATCATTGCCCTTAGCAGACAAAGGGCTCTTTCAACGTCACCATGCTTTACAACTCCATTGAGCATTGCATTATAAAGCAAAACCAAAGAGCCCAAATCCAACTTCTCCCCTTCTTCCTCAAGAAACCAATTTGCAGTGGTCAAGTCTCCTTCACTACAAAATGCTGAGATCAAATTCTTGATCACCCGAACATCCGGAGATATATCATCCTTTTTCATTTCCAAGTACAAATCCATCGCTGTTCGAAGCTCCTTCTCTTCACACAATCCCTCAATCAGGACACTGAAGAGTGACAAAGTCCCACGAAAACCATAAATTTTCATTTTACCGAACATTACTAATGATTTGTCCACTCTCCTATGTCTAATAAACCCAGGAATCAACACAGAGAATGTCTTCTCGCTTATCTTCATCCCCATTTTCTCCATCCTCTCAACCAACTCGCAAGCTCGATCAATCTTCCCCCACTTACAAAACGAGACAATGAGAATCGTGAAAACATGCTCATCAGCCCACCCTCTATCACTGATCCTATTGAAAACATCCAACACTTTGTCCAATTTCTCTGAATTACAATAACATTGCAACATTGAGGTTAGAGTATACTTATCGGGCTCTCTTCTTGAATCTCCTACCATCTCCCTAAACCTTGATTCCATCAGTTCAACTTTGCCATCTTTAGCAAACGCCTCAAGCAAACAATTATATGTATAAGAATTGGGCACACAGTTCAAATCACCAGCATGCTCAAACACAAAATTCGCCTCATCAGTCAGTCTCTGATTGCCAAGGCACCGAATTAAGAACCCCAATGCTCCCGGGCTGACTGGGCATCGTTGGGCCACCAGTTCCTTCACAAGGGGTCGAAGACGAGACCTCTGTTGGGCCCAAGAGAGGATCGAGGCCATGGCATTGTAAGTATAGCAATTGTGACGAAATCCATCTTGCCATGAGGCCCATCGAAAGAAATCATGGGCCGCTTTCCACTCCTTGAGGTCTTTAAGGACGGCCTCAACGGTCTCAGGGCGGAGGCTACGGCCAAGGTTTTGGAGCTCATCAGGGTTGCGGAGAGAAGCTGGTTGAGAGAATAGATCGAACAGTTTGTGGGCAAGTCGGTCGCCGGTGACGGAAGAAGCTATTGAGGATGAGATTGAGAGGGTGTTGAGAGAAAAGGGTTTGAGAGGAGAATGAGGTGGTTTGACTGCTGCTCGCAGGGCCATTAGAGGGGATTAAGAATGAGGAGAAAAGATTGGATGTCTTTGTGTAGAGAGATGATGGGAGTAGTAATGGAGTTTGGGAGAGGAGAGTGGAGGGGAGCAGGAATTGGGTAGAAAACTGCTGTCTCATTGGAATTGTAATTGCAGTTGCATATGAGCGGGCGGTGCAGAGCCATGGAATGGTTTCCTCGGCATATAGCCGTTGATGTTTTGCGGCACTACTCCTCAGGGTTTAGGATTCATGTTAGAAACAGGGTACGGAAAATAATTAAGTGTTTGGCAACCGTGGTATTTTCGCCGTTTCTGTTTTTTTAACAAAAACAAAAAAACTTGTTTGGCAACAGGGTGTTTTTTTTAACTTGTCCCTTTATAAAATCTAAAAATTAAACACTTTTCTCAAAACATCAAAAATGTGTTTTAATATTCCGTATTATCATATAAGCCGCCCAGCCCGCTCGCCCGCTTACTGCGGTCCACCGCACCACGCGTCGCTGCCGACCACCGCCGCGCCCGCCGCCCCTTGGACCCGCCGCCACCCCTGCCACCGCCCGCCTGTCGTCGGTCGCGGGTTGCCGGCCGCCTGTCAGTCGGCCGCCAGGGCCACCTCACCCCACCGCTACCACCATCACCGTCTCTGCCGCCGTCGGTCGGCAACGCCGGCCACCGCCACCGTCTCCTCGCGCTCGGTGGGCCGTCGGCGGCGCCCCCCTCCGATCCCGCAGGCGTGCATCCCGGCAACGTACCAACCACCTTCGTCTCCCACCGCCGGCCGTCTGTTCCGCTCGGCCATCGGCCAGCCGGTCCGGGGCTCCACTCCCGTGCTAGCCCGCCGGTCGCCGGACAGTCGTTGTTCAACCCCTCCGCCCCTGTCGCAGCGCGCTACCATCCCTCCAGTCGTACCGCTCACCGGCCCTGCCCGCCCCACGCTGGCCGCAATATATATGGCAAAACTAGTTTGCACAAAATGTGTTCGTTAAAACACATTTGAAAAAAAATATACACATGGCATGTGTTTTTTACAGAAAATCACAACATAAAAAACACTTTGATTACCAAATTCATATAAAGTTATTGTTAATGTTACTCTCAAATTGCACGCAAGAAAAGACGCTGCTTCATCCGTCCAACCGAACTGGCATCCCAGCGCCATTTTAGGGTGAAGCTATAGTGCTGCGCCAGATTTGGCGCAGCACTGTAGCTTTGGTGCAGTGACTTTTTTTTTAATTTTTAACCTTTTTTTAGGCATAGAGTTTATTATTTTGTTGGTTTTTAATGTTTCTCTTTTTATTCATGATCAAAATATTTCATTGAAGTTATGAAAGTAATATTTTAATTTGATTTAGCATTTAATTTTTATATTTTTATTTTATTCATAAAATATATTATTATAATTAATTATATGTATTATATAATTAAATAATTATATAATTTGTTAAATATTTTAACTTTCAAAAAATGTTAAAAGATAAGAATAATAAAAGGAATATTCTTTTTGGTGTAACATTTGGTGTAATGGGTTGGAGATAGAATAATAATTTGGTGTAAAAACTACACCAACTTGGTGTAAAAACTACACCATTTTGAGTTTTATGGTTGGAGATGCTCTAAGCGAAAAACTATCTTACGCTATGTAGGGTATTTCATAAAAATATCATGCAATGTCATTAAATTTTTATTGGTGCAAAATATCGTTATATATCTGATTTATTGATAGGGTTATTTGCATATGTACCATTTACATCATGGGTATTTGCAAAGCTACCCCTCAAAGAATGGACTTTGTGAAAAATACCCCTAAAATCAAAAAATAATCAACTTGGTGCTAAAAATTTGACCATTTGGTTGATAACTTTTAAGCTGTGATTATAAGTTAGCTTATTAATGTTGATGATTAGTTACTCTGAGGATATTTTTTTTCAAAATCGATGATTTGATGGGTAGTTTTGTAAATACTGAGATTTAAAAGGTATATTTGCAAATACTCATAATTTAAGGAGTATATATATGCAAATATGATAATAACTTGTAAGGTCAATGCAGTTAGTTGACAATGACGTAAATTTCATGACAGTTAAGTCACTTCACCCCAATTTGTATTTTGTGACGCAAATAGAATTCATGGTATCGTGCACACTTAGGGCATGTTTGTTCGCACGGAAATAATTATGAAGTAGCTGAAGTAAAAGAAGTAGAGACTATTTCTACTACTTCCAAACAAAAAAATGTGTTTGGTTTTCTGAAAAACTTACTTTCAATACTTCCATAAACGCTTATGTGACGCCTACGTATCATCCTTACTTCCAAAATATTTTTCCAATCCTCAACACTCAGAAGTAGCTCGGAAGTAGTTGAAATGCATATTAATTAGGAAATAATAATTTTTTATTAATATTTTCTTTATTGGTTACTTCTAACAACTTTTCATTGATAAAATTACTTTCTAGAAATATTTCCAAATGTTATCCAAACAAAAAAAAAGTAAATGAAGAGGAAGAAATTCTACTTCTATTACTTCTAAAAATATATGAAACAAACAAAAAAGATGATATTTCAACTACTTCCTACTTTATAGTTTTGAAAGTTACTTCTATAAACTACTTCTTACTTCCAATACTTCCATTATCCAAACGGACCCTTAGGTTTTTTTCCCAGAAAATTTGTCGTATTTTTAGTAAATTCAATGGAAAAATTATGTCAATGCCCTAAATTTCAAAACTCAATGTGCCACAGCCCCTCATATGTTTTTACAATATGTTGCAGCCCCCAAAATTTGAAAAAAATTATGGGCCGATCCCTCCAGCTCATGATTAGCCCATATTTAACCTAAAAACCCAATTTTACCCCTCTTCCTCTTCTCATTCTCCTTCTCCTTCCTCATCCTCCTTCCTCCTTCCTTCCCGTCAATCCTTTAATCCGTCGCCGACTCTACATGGGCTCCACCGACGATCCTCTTCCTCTTGTCTCGTTCTCCTTTCTGTTGGATTTAAATCTAATTAAATCTAATTGTGGGCACATATGATTAATCAATGTGTATTGCTATCTTTAAGGATAACCCACTTAAAGTAATCAATCAATTTGGGTTAATGTGTATTTAAATAAATCATGGGGTTATATGTACAGATACCAGGTTGTAATTATAATTTGATGAGGGGCCAAATTACAAATGTACAACACCTATATATATGGGGTTATGGTGCCTAATCTAGGGTTAGCCACTCTCATTCTCTTATCCCCATCTAAAGAGATCCATAAGGGAGAAACCCTAAGGTTAGAAGATCATCAAAACCCTAATCAGGTTTTCCTCAATGGATTCAAGTATATTCTTCTGCACCTTTTGATTCTTGTTAATCTCTTTGAATTAATCATGGCGTTAATGTTTAGATATTAAATTTTTAGATCCAACAAGTGGTATCAGAGCCACCGTGATTTGTTCTAAAAGATTAAGATTAAAATTAGGGTTCTTTGATCTTAATTTGTGTTTTTTAAGAACTGTTCACGGATGAACAGTAACGTTTTTTTATTTGTTACTATTCGGATGAACAGTAAAAATTTCCTTTTTGTTTGGTTTTTCTTTCAATTTTGGATCTGTAGCACTTATGAACTCTAAAGTTCATTTCTTTTGTGTTTGATTCAATTTTTGAGGTTTGGATCTGAATGATTGAGTTCGAAAAAAAATTTAGGGCTTGAGGACTTACCCGTTCTCAGGTGAGCCTCGTGCTCGATTCAGACGAACCTCACATTCGTTCTCAGGTGAGTTTCTCGCTCGATTCAAACGAACCTCGCGTTCGTTCTCAAAGTTGAACATCACGTTCATTCTCAGGTCGAACTTCGCGTTCGTTTTCAGACGAACATTGCGTTCGTTCTCAAGTTGAACATTGTGTTCATTCTCAGGTCGAACTTCGCATTCGTTTTCAGACGAACATTGCGTTCGTTCTCAAGTTGAACATCACGTTCATCCTCAGGTCGAACTTCGCGTTCGTTTTCAGACGAATATTGCGTTCGTTCTCAAGTCGAACCTTGCGTTCATTTTCAAAACGAACCTTTCGTTCGTTCTTAAGTTGAACATCACGTTCATTTTCAGACGAACATTGTGTTCGTTCTTAGGTGAGTCTCGTACTCAAAACAGACGAACCGCGCATTCGAAGTCAAGCGAACTTCGTGTTCACTATGGTTAAGCCTCAGCTTTTCATATTAAATTATGGGTCCACTTTGGTATACTTAATTTATTCAATTAAGTTATGGGCCCTAATTAAGCTATGAAAAATTCTTTTAATTCAAATTAAGTTGTTTAATTTGAATTAATTTTGGTAGTTAATCAATTATTTAATTCAAATAATATGATACTAAGATATTAAGTTGTCTCTCATTCCAAATGATTAATTGAAACAAGATGTTGCCAAAGTAACATCTCTTGTGTAGATTGTTCATGAAGGATGTCGATGTTTGTGTATATGTTTTCGTGTAAATATTTAATCGGCCCAAAGAAAGGTTAATATTTATTTAGACTGTAATACACATCTGCGATGATAAACGTGTGACAATTATAAGGTTTACATGTGAATAATGAATCGATCCAAAGATAGTTTCATTATTTAACATAAGTTATTGTCAATGTTTGATCATTACAATAAGGTATCACTTACAAGTTAATATTACTGTCCAAAGACTTGATATTAATATTGTACCAGATATCTTAAGATGGGATTTGTCATTATTTGAATTTTATTGATTACAGTTAATAATGTGAGTATCTTTTGTTTATTTCAGCTAATGCATCTGCTGTAATAATTTCTGCTAACATCAACTTAATTCTCATGCCCAATGGGACAAATTTCAAGGTTTGGAAAGAGAACATATTAATTGTTCTTGGCTGCATGGATCTAGACCTTGCATTAAGAACTGAGCAACCCCAACCTCTCAATGCGGATAGCACTCCTGATGTTAAGAAGGAGTATGAGAAGTGGGAGCGTTCAAATCGCATGAGTCTTATGATCATTAAGCGTGGCGTTTCGGAAGCCTTCAGGGGCATAGAATCCGAAGGGATTACTAAGGCTAAAGATTTCCTTGCCGAAATTGAGAAACGTTTTGTAAAAAACGATAGAAACAAGCACGCTTTTAGCTCACTTGATCCAATGAAGTATAATGGCAAAGGAAATATCAGGGAGTACATTATGGAAATGTCTCATATTGCTTCAAAGCTTAAGGCACTTAAAGTCAATCTTTGTGATGAGTTATTGGTGCATCTGGTTCTGTTGTCTCTTCCTGCATA